AAAATTGTCGAAGAATTAACAATTTCTAACATTTTACGTAATTTGTGTTCATCGATGATCATTCACTTCGTAGAAAACGAAATTAAATTCTCACGCAAAGACACCTTGTCAGGAAAGCAGGAAAAACATGTAACAAGTCGATAGAATCGGAAAATATTCCAATACTAGTTTTCGATGTCCACAAAAAGAAACAAAAAAAAAAAAAAGAGGGAAAAGCAACGCATAAGTTGTTCGCCCTAGAAACTTCGCCCATAACCTACTTCCACGCGATTTATGATTCAACGATGCCTGAAACTTATCATCTCCTCAACAAGACTATAAATCTATAGGAGAATGTAGGTGGGTACTTTTGAAAAATCGAAAAGTTGTCATTCGATGGGAAATTTCAGGGTTGATCTATCTGGTCGATCGATCGAGCCACGATCGAAAACAGTTATTATTAATAAGCAGCCAGGATAAATTGTGGCATAGGGGATGTCCCGAGTTTCTCGATGACACGCAGTCCCCAGGCGAAGTTGCCGGGAGTTGTCAAACTGTTCTTTCCTCCCCAATGATCCGGCAACTTGCTGGAAACGGACACCGACTTCCCGTGGGGAATGGCAGGTTTAGCGATCAGCTGAGTAGACAAGTGACAAATAAGGATAATGGCTCTTGTTTATGCAGGTACGGGTACACTGACTCACCCAAGTGTCTGGGCACTTGCTAGTACTTTCCACATACATATATTAAATGAATAAGAAATGATACCAGCTACAAATCTTAAATATTCCTTTCTTACGCCTTCTTTCCTCAATAGTTAGGTATATCGTAGTTTCCAATACTAAATACCGATATTTAGTATCACATGCTAAATATACAGTAATTTCATATTAGGTAATCAATTTTTCGTGCTACATACAACTAGAAAAAAACCAGATAAATTAAAATATAGAGTTTCAAATTTTAATAGTTTCCACGTTAAAAAAAAGTTACTTGATCCAAGAAATTATTTCATAGCGATAATTATACAATGATATTCCTGAAGTTTTTTTATGCAGAAAGCTCTCGACTAACTCACTAACATGATAAAAAAAAGTTTGTAATGTTCTGCAACTATTTTATTAAATTTGCCAGATATTCATCATGAGATTTATTTTCAAATTTCCCAAATTTCGAATTTTCTCTCAGTTATAAATATTTATATCAGGGTTTATTCAATGTATCTTCGTAAACCAGCATATTCTTTTTCCGTCCTAAGATGTATTAAAACTATTCTTGATTAAAAAAGAAAAACGGAGGACAGAGAAGGGAGAAAAGAGGAAAGCTCGTATTTCCGCGCCCGTACGGCGGCGAAGAAAACTTTCGTAATTAATAAGTAATTTCCTCGCTTTATGGCGGAGAGAAAACTGTCATAAAAAGTTGGCCCGCTCGTTTCTTTCTCCCCGTGGCAAAAACAATAGAAATAAATATCGAGGATATCGGCGCCGTATTTCATCGCCAACTAATTCCCCGCGATCCTCCCTGCCAGATACGCTTCTCCAAACGTGTGAATGCTATCGATTACCGGGCACGTAATTAATTTCGTTTCCTAGATTGCGATTTTTCTGTTTGAAAGTTAAGGCATTGAAAAACAGTTGAAAGTCACGTTTGCGGTATATACAGAGTGTCGTATAATTGCTGATATAGCCAATGAAAATTTTAGGTGAAAAAGCGAATAAAAGATTTAGACGAATATTTGCCCATTTTGAAAGTTCGTTTCTGAGAAAAAATCAGTGAAAAATTTAATCAGTGTATTTAACTGCTTTTTCAGAACAAATTTCAATAATTATTTATATGTATTTATTACATTCGATAATTACTGGGCAAAATTAATACAATCGAAACGAAATGTAAAACATTTATAATTGTTTAATTAGTAATTTTATTAATCCCGAGTCAAAGAAAAACAAAAATGGCAATTAAAATACGAGAATACAAACTCTTTCTGGTACAAGCAATTTAGTCCACTTTAAACATTATAAAAATAACATCGATTAAAAATAAATACTGTTTTATTGATCGACGAAATATTTGTGAGTTAACGTTCAACAAACAAACGCAAACGAGACTTCATCGATATCCACCGAAAACCAGCTAATTTATTCGAATTTTGAACCTTCGTCCTATTTAAGCCCGCGTTTGACAAATGATACGCTTATACTACTTGATTAATGCTTCCTTCATTCAAACCAATTGAAAGGCTTGTAACAAAATCAATTCGTATAAAATTCTTCGATTTTCTTTCGCGCAACGGTGCATTTTAATAGGTTCGAGTGAAATTCACAAAATGATGGAGCACGAAATGACGGAAAGTAAACGATTTATACTACTGAAAAATTGCAAGTTCCACGTTCTACGCTTATTATATTTTTCTGCAAAAAGATAAAAATCGGCAAGAGTTATTTTCGTCACGAACCGAACCCTTTAAATATTTATCAATCTCCAAATATGAAACCACAGGTGACTGATTTTCAAAAATGACACGATACGATTGTCCACCGTCGGAAAAATCGTTGGAAAATCGGAAAGTTTCGGTACGAACGAAACAAACCGATGCGAAACAATGGAGGAGGCGAGGCTTTCGCATGTTGCAAGTGGATTTGTTTTCCATGGCACACGTGTGTACAGGAAAATCGAGCTCGTAGAGAAGTACAATTGACGCGGCTGACTGTTTGAACCGGCAAATTCAAGAGTAGCTGAAGTGGGGAATTTTATTACCGGTAACAAATCGAAAGAAAGAAACGAAAGGACAAAAGAACCGGAGAAAAACACCGGAGTTTGGTTTACATTCGACGAATAGCTCGCACAGCAGCTGACATATCGAGCATTTCCTTTTTTTTCCCGCGTCTTTTATATCTCGTTTCCGTTCTTTTAACGTAAAAGAGAGAACCGAAAGGTACTTTCAAAATTGATTCCGTTGGAAGGTTTCGATGGAAGTAATTATTTCGGAATTTCAGAGTTTCGTCGAAGATCGTTGTCAAGTCGAACGTCTGACAATTTATTCCGTTAAAAATTAATTTCTGTTAATTATCAAATTATTTCCCGAGTATCCAGGAATATCATCAAACCAACAAAATCTTTGAAAATAATCAGCAAAAATTTCTTCGCGTTTGATAGAAACCTTCCTAGTTGGAGTACAATACTAGATTATACCGAATAGCCAGGGATCCACGACCGCAATGTGTCCAGCAAAAGGATGACAGCGGCAGAGAGAAAGAGGGATACGTGCAAGAGACACGTAACACTTGCAAAGACAATGTCCGTTGGACTGAGAATAGAGCGGAAACAGAATCAACAAGATGGAGTCCGTTGCCCTAGGGATTGTTCATAAATTATGGACGCGTTAATTGTAATGGAGTTCCCAAACCGGACTGTTTATTGACTTCGCGCCGTTGATGAACCTTTGTACCATGTATTTTGCCGGGAATTTCGAATATCTTGCGACGATGTTTCACAAGTTTAATTTACGTCATATTTTGCGAATTAAAGAGAATTATTTCTAAGAATTAAAACACTGTCCTTCAGATTGAATTCGTTCGCCCAATATTCTTATGCGTTTTGTCGAGAATGTTGCGCATCTTGTACTGTTATTTTAGCAGTTTCATTTATATCATATTTTGCGGATCGAAGAACAAGTTAATATTTCAAGATTGCAAGTTTCTTCGGGGTTTCTTTGAAGATACTTCGCAGAAAGATACGCTTGTAGATACTTTCTTCGTCCATTACACACAACATGCAACCCCAATCACAGAGAACCGAAAGCCTATCTTTGGATCGAAATAGACGCTCATTGCGTCAAAGATTTGTAACATAGCTGAAAACCTGATCAAATAATGTTGCTACGTAGGAAAGGAAACTTTTCGAAAAAGGATTCGACGATTCTCGAGTCACAAGGTAATAGATAAGAAAGAAACGCGCACAGATGTTGCGTCTTATAGCATACGCGACATGCTCGCGCCTCGATTCTAGCCGCGATCTCTACTTGCTGATACCTAATGATGAAACTAAAAACACCGGAGCACCTCGGATAAAAAGGCTCTCGTATTCTTTGATACAGGTATGGCGACAATAGCTGGCGCGAACACGGTTCTCGCGCATAAGCATTTTTAATGCGCCGCTGTTTTGTACTTTAGATGCATTAAAAGTTTAAAAAACGGTCAATACCGGTTATTGTAAACGCTGTCCTCTGCTAAAAACGTATGTAACGCAAATGGTGTAAACGGCGAACGAAAGGACATGTTTCAGAATTACTATTATTACCACGATCGTTATTAAATTCGAAATGAATTTATTTGCGCAGAAAATGTGAGAACAGTGTACCTGCTTCGATTTTGATAATATTGAAATTGTTTGTGGGTGGAGTTCATGCTTCGATTATCGGTATCTTCGCTGCTGTATCTCCCCGGAAGCGCATAATCGAAGCTTTATGCGACAATGTCGGACCGGGATCTCCTCTCAAAGGCTGCGAACGCGTTTTCGAGATTCAAATTGCCCCTCCGTCTACCCCTACATCCCTCGAACGATATTACTCGACGAACGTGATTAATTAACGTGTCTCATTCGTACGGTGTAAAAGGTAAATTTTACGTGGTCGTGAGAACTACGACAGCAGTAAAAAAGAATTTATGGCGACTGGGAAATTGCTAGAATTTTATACGATAAATTTTGATCTCGATCGATTTTCCGATACTTCGCTTTGTTTTTCTCTCGTGTGTCGCTCTTTCAAGGAATATCATTTTTCTAATAAATGATAGAAATCTTTATTCCTATAGCAACATAGAGACAGTTTAGTTTGAGATTAGGTTTTAAATAAACTTTAATTTGGGGATGTAATTGGTTGATTTTTTAAATTATTTGCTAGTTAATTATTTACTAGCTTATTTTGCTTACATTAGAAATTGCTTATCTCGAACGTTAATGCAGTTCTATATAGTGTAGAATTCGTAAAAGAAAATTCTATAGCGAAGAGTCCAAGTACTCACCGCATTGTTGGTGTGCGTTTGATCGGTTTTGAGTTCTCTATGGTTGCTGAATTGAACGTAAACTGCCCTGCCACGGAGCTGAGCCATACACGAGGCATAGTAATTTACCATCGTCGCGGCAGCATTTTCATCCGCCATTTCCAGGAACGCCTGCAACAGAAAATCATCAGAATATGGTTAGAAAAATCTATTAAATCAGAAAATTTAACTAGGACGACCGCTTTTTTATAAATAAGTGATTTATTGTAATAATCTTTTGCCATCTCAAAACATCATTTTCCAAACATTCTATAACACATTCCAAAGAAGAATTGCAGTTTGCAAATCTGAGACATCTTGAGAATGCCAGAACAGAAATAAGAAAAGGAATTCCACTTTCGTGGACGATTTCAATATAGTCGAAGGTAAAATCGGGAAACGACGCGTTTTGAAATCCAAAAGAGAGGTTAGCTCGTCGCGCAATCCAAATATTAATGCAAAATTATCTCTGTAATTGAATTTCCGCGTATTCTCCGTCGATGTTACTTAATTTCCACTCGAAATTCCCTCCTGGTCGCGGAATACAACTTAAATATTTGCCAGAAACAATAAAAACTACTTTGCAAGGCAATGAAACGTCAACATTTCGATTGCATCGTCTTTCGAATGTGTTTTTAATACGATAATGGGGCAGGAACGACTTCGAGCCAACGACCATACTGTCCCGATGAAAATCTTAGCAAAATTGAGAAACAATAGCAAATTACCTTAGAATATTTTAATATCATATTATTTCTTCAATTTTACTAAAATTTCGGGAATTTAACGATTGTATGTTGAACTCTACCGACTTCGATGTAGATTATGTAAAAAATGCAAAAAGTTATACCATAATTTTAATCTAGCTTGAAATAGAAATTCTAAAAGTAAAATTTAATTGAAATTAAATGAAATGAATTTAGTTTTTAAGGCAAAATTTGTGATAATTTTGATGGTAAATGAATGTTGAAATTATAACGATGGATCAAAGGAAGAAATTCTGATATTGCACTGATAATTATGATACAATTAATAGAAGTGTAATGATTAATTGTAGAATGGATAGACTAATAATGGGAAATTTAATTGCAAGAGATGTTTATGCTAGGTAAATTGTTATTCATTCGAAATTCTATACCGCCTGTCCTGTGTATCATTTTGAATAGAATAATTAGATTCATTTATTTAGAGAAGGTTGAAATTTATTTAAACGTATAATTTTTCTATCTCTCGTCATATACGTCGGATACCAAAAATATTCATGTTGTATAAATAAGAATTTATTTATAATGCATATCTTAAATACCTCTTAATTGTAGAAATGGGACAGAGTTTCTTTTCCATCGTAAAAACGAAAGGAGTGGCAATGTCAGTAATATTTCAAGATCTGTATGGAATGCAAGTTGCAATATACCGCTTAAATAACGTGAACGGAAAAAAGTAGGCAGGTTGTAAATTCCCTTCATGGGGCAACTACCGAAGAAAGTATGTTTCTGAAAATGATAAATAATTAATTGCACTTCGTTGGCAGAAGTGCCTTAAGAGATATCGATTTCTCGTTAAAACGTCTCAAAGGACACTTTTTCATTCTTCTCTTCCCTCCACCTTTAAGCGTTCTATATTTTTTCCCTCGAAACGAGGCATTCTCCTTTGAGCTCGCTGGAAAATGGAGAACAAGGGATACTTTTTAGAAAGAAAGAAGAATAACAAAAAATTCGTGAAAAATTAATTTTTCCGTAGAACCTACCCAGAGAAGCTTCCAAGAAGATATAAATTCGTCCTACTTGCCACGGAATGTAAAAATTAATATGAGAATATTTATAAACAGAGAAAATAAATATAATAAAAATAATTCACGATTAAATCGACAGATTTATATATCGAAAGATTATTGGAATAATCTTTAAAGAATTCCGTATAAATATCATATAGAAATTACGTTAAATAGTAGACAAAAATTTTAAGATCGACACTGAAATTTCAACAGACAATTAATTTGAATGGCAAATAAAATTTAAATTAAATATTGGTTAAAATTAAGATCGAAATTTAAATAGAAAATTAGCCGAGTTTAAAAACAAAATTGAAAATTAAATTAAAATAAGATTACATAGAAACTGGTCCAAATTAACATTACGATAATCTTACTTAAATATTGATAGACTTTTAAAGAATTCGTAATACTCCTCAAAATATTCAGAAAACTCCTATTTTGCTCCTTTATTTATCTATATAAAAATATCTATATCCGAATATTCGAGTCATCTTTTCAAAAATGTTCTCACAAATCAACCTCCTCTATTAAAAAGCAAAAAGAAAATCATTCTACCTCTCCATGCAATAATAATTTCTTTCGCCGCCCTTAAAAGAAAAGAAATGGAAAAGGGAGGAAGAAGAGGAGAAAAATCTGTCGAACGATCCAGAGAGCAAATTCGAGATTCCAGGTCGATTCGCGGAGGGAAAAGGGAGAAACAGCTATGTGCTTGGAAGGCATTTTTACATTTGCCTCGGAGCACAGCCGCCGCCATAATGGAATATCTGAAGTTCAGCTCGGGTAAACACACTTGGGACACGAGGAAATTCAGCGGAAAAGAAGCAGGATGAAAAGGAAAACAGCCCGTTTTCTTTCCTTTTCTTTTTTTTTCTTTTTTTAGAAAAACGGCGCACACAACGAAAGCTTTCATTTCAATTACGCCATCCCATTAAAAACTATGTACAGCTTCGATTGTTAAGAGAGTATTTCTCTTCTTTCTCATTTTCTATTAATTCTTGCATTTCACTTGCTCCTTTTTGTTCGTTTGTGAATATTTAGAATTATTTTATTTATTTAATATGTTACTTTGTTTAACTAGAATCCAAAATATCTTTTTAACATAGTCCTGACATTCTGTTTTTGAGCACATAATAATACGAGATCGATTCGTAAATGTTATTCAGTTATAAACTTTAAATTACTAATTACAGGCTGTACATCTAATTTCGCACGCGAAGCAATTCCCTTTTTCCCTTCTTTCGTAATTCTTTGAAACTTTGAAATTTTATTTCGCTCTCGTTTTCCCTGTTTTCCTTTTTATTCCGTCCGTTCTCGGTTTCTCGACGTCTTTTTCTCCACATCCCTTATATTTTTCTTTCGTCGGGCTTTTGCTTCTCCTTGCTTCTCCTGTCAGTCTACTTTTAATGAATTTCTAGTCTGAAAACTATATTATAAAGACAAGAGTGAAACGCTTCCCGTTCCTGACGATTCTCTGAATTTTCATGTAATTCCTCGAAATAAATTCTTGTATCACTGACGCGACTATCTAAAAATGTATGTATTTAATACAAGAAAAGAAACGATACAAAACAAATATGAATTGTAAACGTAGTTCCGTCCGGCTTGAGTCGCGGAAAAAATTAAGAAATAAGATTTTCGAATGATCGAAAGAATGGCAGTCGCGTTTCACCGCGTTTACAAAGGGTGAACAGCTCCAAGAGGTTGAATACTTAAAGCGTACCAACCGGAATTTAATAAAGAGAATCCGCTGTTGAAGATCGACAACAGGAATGCGGGAATTATTTTATTATTACATTCTGTTGCGTTCTTGAAAAATATTCGTCGATTCGAAATGCGGTTCGTGAAAGAAGTCTCAGACATATGTATTGTTTATACCACCAAGTAGGAATAAGAAAAAAAACCAAAATCTCTCAAGGTCCGAAATGGTAAATCAGATCAATAAATGAAAATTGAGTCTCAAACATTTCTATCACAAGAAACATAATTTATGAGCGTTTGAATCGTTGAATCTGTTGAGAATCGTGGATCTTTGAAGCCGAAATAATGTTATAGGAACACTAAATTTATACTGAGGATTAATATTAAAATAATGATACATTTATTTCATGGACCGTAAACGGACTCTTAACGGATTGAACTGTTTGCATTCCTTTGTTTTCGAGACGCTTTGGGCACGCATACTTTCACACACTGATATTCACATACAAGTATCTCTATTACGCATTTAACCTAGTCCAGCACAGAAAATTATACATATCTCAACAGAATCAATCTTGAAAAAATTTTCCGATCCTATTCTGCTTTAAGAAAAAAATGTTCGATTGATACGAATATCTTTTGCCATTAACATTAATTGTACAATCCAATTTACCCAATTATTCGTCCCATATGCGGAGGAATTATTTTATACAAAAGAATTCACGCAACAAAAGCAGCTCGACCGAGCTATAGTAACGTGGAACAGCTTCGCTCGTTCGCTTTAATTCTAACGCGCGATTCCCATTAAACGAGTCGCAAAATCCGATCAAAGAAAGTCCCGGAAACTTCCAACAACTGAAATTAACGACATCGAACTATTAAATTTCTGCAAACTGTCGCTGCGACTACGTAAACAGGGAAATGAGGCGCGGCGGAGGAGCGAAGGTGTTTTAGAGAAACACGGAATTGCAACGGGACGACGATCACGCACAGGCCTCGGAAGGAAAACGAGACACTAGCATGATTGCTCTCTCTTCCATTGCAACTCGGATTTTCTCGAGAACCCGACGAAACGGCTCCGATTGTCTCGGTTAGGGTAATGCAAAATCTCGATCCTCATTTTGCATCAGAATTTTCTCATTTTGAATGGGAAATGTAAAAAACAAAGGAAAGAATTTTCCAGCCCCTGTTTAGAAAAGCTCCATCGGAAATAAAAGATTACCACCCCCGTTGGATCATTTTCTTATCTAAAAATAAAAACATTGCACTTTGTCATTCGAAAGGCAAATGTAAAAATCCAATGCCCTTTCAAACGTATCCGCATAATACCCCTGTTAACTAAAGACAAAAAAAAGGCAGAAATAGGAAAAAAAAGAAGGAGAATTGTGAAAAGTCATAGAAGGGGCTTCGTTAGAGAGATTTCCGGATGCGGGAAAAACGAGGGTAAATCGAGTTTTGCGGGACGAACGATCATTCATTCGCATTTCCATGGGGTTAGTCATCGCCCTGCGAGAAGTACGACGGGGGAATAATATCGTCGGCAGTACGAGAACACCGCCAGTCCTGAATTTAACCCCGTTAACTCCGTTTCGAGGCGCTAATGACGCATAGAGCCGCGCAATTGGGTTTTCGTTTGGAACGCGGGCCGAGCGCGCGGATT